TTTGAAACTGTATACGGAGTCTGCCTCCACCACATCACTTCCTAATGCATTCCATTTGTTAACTATGACACTAAAAAAATGTGTGTGTAATTACCTAAGTGTAGTTACAGGATGAGAGCTCCGCTCGTGGTGTCCCATCGAAATTTCCAGTGCTTTTTGTGGTATAACGCTTTGAAACTAATGACGGTTTTGGCTTCCACCACTTTCTTACTTACCTTTTGTGTGTGTGTGGATATTTGAAACGCCTGTGATACCCCTGGAATTGTTAAATTATTTACAATTTTACCCGGAGGGGTGAGTTTATTGGGCACCACCACTCATCCTGTGAATGGACATACCGCCATAGCAGCATGTATGATCATACTTTATAGGATCAATTCTATAGTATGATTGCCGAGTTCCTTGTCCGAGACTTGGAAAACAGCATGTTTAACACCCCCCCCCCTCCAATAGGACGAAAACCCGCTGGGTTGTTCGTTCTATCCTTCATAACGCCTAATTAAGCTTTATAATTTATTCCTAACTAAACTTCATTCAATACAAATGTCAAATATTTACAAGCAACTTCACCGGTAGATCATGCGAATGTAATATATGAAGTTAGGTATTGTATACATAATTACATTGATGGATAATTACATAATTGATGAATAATTTCATAATTGATGAATAATTTTATAATTAATTGATGAATAATTTTATAATTAATTGATGAATAATTACATAAGAATCAAGGTAACTGCAGGAGACCAATTAGCCTATATGAGGCAGCTCCTATTTATATCCACCCAAACTCATTCATATGTGTATGTTTAACCTACACTTGAAACAATCAAGGGATCTTACGTCTATTATGTTACCCGATAAATGGTTCCACATACTGACAACCCTGTTACCGAACCAGTATTTACCCAGGTCTTTCCTGAATCTAAACTTATTTAATTTGTATCCATTGTTTCGTGTTCTATTATGTGTTGATATATTTAATACCTTATTATTACCCCCTTTGTTGTGCCCATTCATCCGCTCAATCAGGTCACTCTTAACTCTTCGCTTTTATAGAGAATGCAAATTCAGCTTTTTCAATCTATATGAAAGAGTTCTAATTTGTGGGATTAATTTTGTCATCTTACCCTGGACGCGTTCTAGTGAATTTGTCCGTTCTATGGTATGGTGACCAAAACTGAACCGCATAATTTTAATGGGGCCTAACATGAGCAAGATATAGCAGAAACAATCCCTTGATTGTTTCAAGCGTAGGTTAGACATATAGATGAATGAGTTTGGGTGGATGTAAATAGGAGTTGCCGCGTGTGGGTCAATAGACCGTCTGCACTTACCATGATTCTCGTGTAATTATGAAGAATAACACCAGGTGCTTTATTGCTAACGCATCTAGAAATAAATCCAAATGTATTCAATGGCAATGGGTGATGTATAAGTGTATCAGCGTGGTCTCTTGTGTACGTCTGGTCTCCTGATACGTGCAGTATGTTTGGTCTTCCGATACGTGCAGTATGTTTGGTCTCCCGATGTGTGTTAGATGAGGCAGCATTTGTTATCATAGATAAGGCAGCGTGTTAGAGAAGCCTAGCACTATCTAAGAGTGGAGCCCTTGTCCTCGCCTAGGAAGCTGTAGTGTTTGTCAATAATTGCGCCTCAGGAACCTTCGTTCTAGTGTAGAGTTTAGCCTAGTTGCTGCTAATATTATACGGGTGTAAGGCGTCAATATCAGATTTACTCTGTTTTTTTTTACATAATCTATCGGGTGCTATTTTCGATACAATTTCTGGTGTTTTATTCAGTGGTGGGGGATGGGCTGGGAACCTCCGGAGGGTTATTAAGGCAACTCTAAGCTTAGTTTACTGAATAATTTATGATTATTGTAGACTAAAGTATACTGTGTATGTACACCGTTAAGCTCAACACATGTCTGTCGGTGTCCGGTGTCACACCGATGGAGTGAGGGACTGAGTTGCGTATTTATATTTAATCGGTATAAAACATTTAAACTAACATTTAACATATTTACATTCGTTAATGAGACCAATAATTACTAAGCAGCAATGAGGGCAATTATTGCCGTATTAATTTACAAACAGAAATCCGGATATCGAAATGTTTGATCAAGTTAAGGTAATCCAAAATCTTGGATGATGGTTTCAACATGGCTGATGATTCTTCATAAACGCGTTCCATTGTTTTTGGCTGAACTCACTTGCCGCATATATTAAACACTCAGTAATCATAATTAAGTGTGGCAGCAGAGGTTAGAGTTAATAGAACTAACTCAAAAACAAAAGGATTAGATTAAGAGTAGACCTTCCGCCGTAGATCAGCCAATCAGGGGTGGCGGCGGAGGGAAGACACGCACAAGCCCCGCCCACAATAAAACAAATGAAGCAGAGATATATCTGTTCTCCCCCCCCCTCCCTCCCTCTTTCCCGCCAGTCTTAAACATGATTACTGCGCGAGGCTTCGTATATATATCCATCAAGTGGCTTCCTCCTACCCGAGCACCGCAGGGCAGCGTGAGGCATGCTGCACACCGGCTCCTCCTCCACCACCACCTGCTTCCCCCCACACACACTCACAAGGGAATTTTTGTGTATGAGAAATTGCTCGGCCACGACCCTCCAGGAGACAGAAACTGTTCTGTGGAACTCCCCCTCTCCCTCGCCAACCCCTCCTCCGCCAATGCCTCATTAGACTGCCTTATACTTGTAAATGATTACCAAATACTTCAAATTCTTTGGCTGTTAGTATCTTGATAGATTTAAATGGTTCAGGATTGACAATTTTGGTTCTGTCATTTAACATTGATTTGTAGAAATATATTCAAAATACTTCCAAAGAGTGAGGAGGTATCTTGGTAGAGTAAGTTTATACATTTTTTTAAATTTTGTTTTAATGTTCATAGTATTGGATTAGAGCAAATATAATAAATTGTCCAGCAAACTTGACAGCTCTGGAAACCGCGCTGGAATATACAAGACAAGTTCCACCGCTTTAACCACTGTTTTCAGACCTGTCAGACCTACGGACGATGTTAAGCTGGCACAGCATTAAAGCAGCACTCGAGTGCACAGTTTAGGTAACGAGTGAAGGCGTTGGGGGTAAGGTTGGCGAGAGGAGCTGGAGGCGCGGCAGTGGAGCAATAGGCTATATAAACCCAAGCCGTCTGTACTGGGGAGTGGCGGGAATGTGCAGGGTTTGGTCTCTAATCCTAATGTAACCCCCCCACTTTGTCAGCACATTGTTAATAACGCAGTTCTCTTAGTGCAACCCAACTGACGCCCAAATGACAGGCAGTCAGTGATGGCATGGTTGTTAGCGGTAATTATAGACCAGACCCTTTAATGTATGCGTGTGTGTGTAGCCTGAGCCTTTGACATGTATTTCCTAGTGCAGACGGCAGGGTGGAGTGGGGCCCCCCAGGCAGGAACACTGTACCTCCATGTGGGTACCATAAGAGTGCCAGTCTTGGTTGTTGTCTCGCCAGGTGTCGACGGGCGACCCTTTCTTCCTTCGTCTTCACCGGACACGTCACGCAAAATGTTAAATATTTTTATTGTAAATACCATTGGCGGCATTTTGGGGCCCTCGTCTATGGCTGTACACCTTGACCGCTCTTGCTGGCCAGCAATTGGTACAGAAGTCCCTTAGTCACGCCCCATCACAGTTGATGAGTTGCTTTCTGTGGCTACAGGTGTAGAAGGGCGTAGCCCTTACTGGAGTCCCCTTAGTCCCCCATCATCTACCCCTTAGACTCGACCACCTTCCGTTATCTTTGGGCTATTAAACACTGAATGTGGATATAAACCATATTTTAATTTTTTTTTTATTGTGTTCAACCATCAAATGGAATGACGATTATTTTACAGTAATTTAAAATAATTTAGAGTAGTTTCTTGCAATGAAAGGTAACAATTATTTTTCGAATTGCAAATCTTGACGCTTTTACAGCCAAATCTGCCACTAAAGTGTACTTTTGATTGCAACATTTAATATTTGGTTTAGACAGCGTAGCTACCGTGTCTACCCTCAGTGTCCAGTATGACTTGGAGTCCTTTGCTCTCAGTGTAGGTAGATCGGGCAGCGTCACTCATCCTGTGAGTGAACATACTGCCAGTATGAGCAGTATACTTCCCCTAATAGCCATAAAACCCAGTGGTCTCTATATCCTCCAACCAGTAAGTCATCAGACGGGGCCCGAGAGACAGGAGCAGCAAGTGTGAGTGTGTCACGGTAGAGGCCACACAGCAACGATCGAGGGCCCTCGAGTGTGAGCCACAGGTCCTATCACGGTTCCTTCACGCCTCGCGGGGCCAGTCCCACTCGAGGGCGAGTCCCAGGTCCCGCTCGAGTGAGTGTTTCTGTACTGGGGGCCCCTGTGTGAGCTTTTTTTTATCATGCTTGTTTCCGCAATGGTGCTCGTGGACCGACTAACTTGTGGGTGGTGGTGTTGCTCTACAGGTTCCCCTCCACCCTCTCACTCTCTCTCTCTCTCACTCTCTCTCTCTCTCACTCTCTCTCTCTCTCTTTCTCCGGCAGGTAAGTACTCTGGTGTTTTTTCACAGGCATGCTTTCTCATGTACCGTGTTCACCACTTGCAGAACTGGTGTTCACTGTTCCATACATGTTCACGTAGTTTCACTTCTTGCTGAAAATGTTCACAAGTAAAAAAAATATATATAAATATTAGTTAATTGTAATATATATATATTAAGTATTATCAGTATCTGTCATATATATATATATATATATATATATATATATATATATATATATATATATATATATATATATATATATATATGTAATATGCATGTAACTCAAGCGACCTAACCATTGGTCCACAACACTCTTAATCCCAGCCCCCCCTGCACCCCCCCTTCCCACACTACCCCCTCCCTTTCCCACCCACACCTCCCCCCCCCTACACACCCCCCCCCTACACACCCACACCAAATAACCGGAGTTCTTGACCTCGCCACTAGAGAAGTGCAGCGGCCGGACCAGGAGGACCTTCATCTTAAACATGAGTCAAAACTTACTGAAGGAGTTTAAGAGAGAGAGAAACGTCAGAGGAGGTAAGCATTGCCCCCCCAACACCCCCCCACCCCCCCCTACCCCTAGCTGGGTATGTTCTCTCCCCCCCTCTACCCATCTCCTTCCAGCTGGTTCAGGAAGTTAATTGGTCTCCCAGGTGGTTCATTAGGTTCTTATGTGGTTTCGTGAGGTTATCATGTGGTTTCGTGAGGTTCTCAGGTGGTTCGTGAGGTTCTCAGGTGGTTCGTGAGGTTCTCAGGTGGTTCGTGAGGTTCTCAGGTGGTTCGTGAGGTCCTCAGATGGTTCGTGAGGTTCTCAGGTGGTTCGTGGGGTTCTCAGGTGGTTCGTGGGGTTCTCAGATGGTTCGTGAGGTTCTCAGATGGTTCGTGAGGTTCTCAGGTGGTTCGTGGGGTTCTCAGGTGGTTCGTGGGGTTCTCAGATGGTTCGTGGGGTTCTCAGGTGGTTCGTGAGGTTCTCAGGTGGTTCGTGAGGTTCTCAGGTGGTTCGTGAGGTTCTCAGGTGGTTCGTGGGGTTCTCAGGTGGTTCGTGGGGTTCTCAGATGGTTCGTGGGGTTCTCAGGTGGTTCGTGGGGTTCTCAGGTGGTTCGTGGGGTTCTCAGATGGTTCGTGGGGTTCTCAGGTGGTTCGTGAGGTTCTCGTGTGGTTCGTGAGGTTCTCATGTGGTTCGTGAGGTTCTCATGTGGTTCGTGAGGTTCTCATGTGGTTCGTGAGGTTCTCAGGTGGTTCGTGAGGTTCTCATGTGGTTCGTGAGGTTCTCATGTGGTTCGTGAGGTTCTCAGGTGGTTCGTGAGGTTCTCAGATGGTTCGTGAGGTTCTCAGGTGGTTCGTGAGGTTCTCAGGTGGTTCGTGAGGTTCTCATGTGGTTCGTGAGGTTCTCAGGTGGTTTCGTGAGGTTCTCATGTGGTTCGTGAGGTTCTCAGGTGGTTCGTGAGGTTCTCAGGTGGTTCGTGAGGTTCTCAGGTGGTTCGTGAGGTTCTCAGATGGTTCGTGAGGTTCTCAGGTGGTTCGTGAGGTTCTCAGATGGTTCGTGAGGTTCTCAGGTGGTTCGTGAGGTTCTCAGATGGTTCGTGAGGTTCTCAGGTGGTTCGTGAGGTTCTCAGGTGGTTCGTGAGGTTCTCAGGTGGTTCGTGGGGTTCTCAGGTGGTTCGTGGGGTTCTCAGGTGGTTCGTGGGGTTCTCAGATGGTTCGTGGGGTTCTCAGGTGGTTCGTGAGGTTCTCAGGTGGTTCGTGAGGTTCTCAGGTGGTTCGTGGGGTTCTCAGGTGGTTCGTGGGGTTCTCAGATGGTTCGTGGGGTTCTCAGGTGGTTCGTGAGGTTCTCAGATGGTTCGTGAGGTTCTCATGTGGTTCGTGAGGTTCTCAGGTGGTTCGTGAGGTTCTCAGGTGGTTCGTGGGGTTCTCAGGTGGTTCGTGGGGTTCTCAGATGGTTCGTGGGGTTCTCAGATGGTTCGTGGGGTTCTCAGGTGGTTCGTGAGGTTCTCAGATGGTTCGTGAGGTTCTCAGGTGGTTCGTGAGGTTCTCAGGTGGTTCGTGAGGTTCTCAGGTGGTTCGTGGGGTTCTCAGGTGGTTCGTGGGGTTCTCAGATGGTTCGTGGGGTTCTCAGGTGGTTCGTGAGGTTCTCAGGTGGTTCGTGGGGTTCTCAGGTGGTTCGTGAGGTTCTCAGATGGTTCGTGAGGTTCTCATGTGGTTCGTGAGGTTCTCAGGTGGTTTCGTGAGGTTCTCATGTGGTTCGTGAGGTTCTCAGGTGGTTCGTGAGGTTCTCAGGTGGTTCGTGAGGTTCTCAGGTGGTTCGTGAGGTTCTCAGATGGTTCATGGGGTTCTCAGGTGGTTCGTGAGGTTATCATGTGGTTTCGTGAGGTTCTCAGGTGGTTCGTGAGGTTCTCAGGTGGTTCGTGAGGTTCTCATGTGGTTCATGGGGTTCTCAGGTGGTTCGTGAGGTTCTCATGTGGTTCATGGGGTTCTCAGGTGGTTCGTGAGGTTCTCAGGTGGTTCGTGAGGTTATCATGTGGTTTCGTGAGGTTCTCAGGTGGTTCGTGAGGTTCTCATGTGGTTCGTGAGGTTCTCAGGTGGTTCGTGAGGTTCTCAGGTGGTTCGTGGGGTTCTCAGGTGGTTCATGGGGTTCTCAGGTGGTTCGTGAGGTTCTCAGGTGGTTCGTGAGGTTCTCATGTGGTTCGTGATGTTCTCAGGTGGTTCGTGAGGTTCTCAGATGGTTCATGGGGTTCTCAGGTGGTTCGTGAGGTTCTCAGGTGGTTCGTGAGGTCCTCAGGTGGTTCGTGAGGTCCTCAGATGGTTCGTGTGGTTCTCAGGTGGTTCGTGAGGTCCTCAGGTGGTTCGTGAGGTTCTCAGGTGGTTCGTGAGGTTCTCAGGTGGTTCGTGAGGTTCTCATGTGGTTCGTGAGGTCCTCAGGTGGTTCGTGAGGTCCTCAGATGGTTCGTGTGGTTCTCAGACGGTTCGTGAGGTCCTCAGGTGGTTCGTGAGGTCCTCAGGTGGTTCGTGAGGTTCTCAGATGGTTCGTGAGGTCCTCAGGTGGTTTGTGAGGTCCTCAGGTGGTTCGTGAGGTCCTCAGGTGGTTCGTGAGGTCCTCAGGTGGTTCGTGAGGTTCTCAGATGGTTCGTGAGGTCCTCAGGTGGTTCGTGAGGTCCTCAGGTGGTTCGTGAGGTCCTCAGGTGGTTCGTGAGGTTCTCAGATGGTTCGTGAGGTCTTCAGGTGGTTCGTGAGGTTCTCAGATGGTTCGTGTGGTTCTCAGATGGTTCGTGAGGTCCTCAGGTGGTTCGTGAGGTTCTCAGATGGTTCGTGAGGTCCTCAGGTGGTTCGTGAGGTCCTCAGGTGGTTCGTGAGGTTCTCAGATGGTTCGTGTGGTTCTCAGATGGTTCGTGAGGTCCTCAGGTGGTTCGTGAGGTTCTCAGGTGGTTCGTGAGGTTCTCAGGTGGTTCGTGAGGTTCTCAGGTGGTTCGTGAGGTTCTCAGGTGGTTCGTGTGGTTCTCAGATGGTTCGTGAGGTTCTCAGGTGGTTCGTGAGGTCCTCAGGTGGTTCGTGAGGTTCTCAGGTGGTTCGTGAGGTTCTCAGGTGGTTCGTGAGGTCCTCAGGTGGTTCGTGAGGTCCTCAGGTGGTTCGTGAGGTCCTCAGACGGTTCGTGAGGTCCTCAGATGGTTCGTGAGGTCCTCAGATGGTTCGTGAGGTCCTCAGACGGTTCGTGAGGTCCTCAGATGGTTCGTGAGGTTCTCAGGTGGTTCGTGAGGTTCTCAGGTGGTTCGTGTGGTTCTCAGATGGTTCGTGAGGTTCTCAGGTGGTTCGTGAGGTCCTCAGGTGGTTCGTGAGGTCCTCAGGTGGTTCGTGAGGTCCTCAGGTGGTTCGTGAGGTCCTCAGGTGGTTCGTGAGGTCCTCAGATGGTTCGTGAGGTCCTCAGACGGTTCGTGAGGTTCTCAGGTGGTTCGTGAGGTCCTCAGGTGGTTCGTGAGGTCCTCAGACGGTTCGTGAGGTTCTCAGGTGGTTCGTGAGGTTCTCAGGTGGTTCGTGAGGTTCTCAGATGGTTCATGGGGTTCTCAGGTGGTTCGTGAGGTCCTCAGGTGGTTCGTGAGGTCCTCAGATGGTTCGTGAGGTCCTCAGACGGTTCGTGAGGTCCTCAGATGGTTCGTGAGGTTCTCAGGTGGTTCGTGAGGTTCTCAGGTGGTTCGTGAGGTCCTCAGGTGGTTCGTGAGGTCCTCAGGTGGTTCGTGAGGTCCTCAGATGGTTCGTGAGGTCCTCAGACGGTTCGTGAGGTTCTCAGGTGGTTCGTGAGGTCCTCAGGTGGTTCGTGAGGTCCTCAGATGGTTCGTGAGGTCCTCAGACGGTTCGTGAGGTTCTCAGGTGGTTCGTGAGGTTCTCAGGTGGTTCGTGGGGTTCTCAGGTGGTTCGTGGGGTTCTCAGGTGGTTCGTGGGGTTCTCAGGTGGTTCGTGGGGTTCTCAGGTGGTTCGTGGGGTTCTCAGGTGGTTCGTGGGGTTCTCAGGTGGTTCGTGAGGTTCTCAGGTGGTTCGTGGGGTTCTCAGGTGGTTCGTGAGTTGTCAGGTGGTTCGTGAGGTTCTCAGGTGGTTCGTGGGGTTCTCAGGTGGTTCGTGAGTTGTCAGGTGGTTCATGTGGTTCTCAGGTGGTTCGTGAGGTCCTCATGTGGTTCGTGAGGTCCTCAGATGGTTCGTGAGGTCCTCAGACGGTTCGTGAGGTTCTCAGGTGGTTCGTGGGGTTCTCAGATGGTTCATGGGGTTCTCAGGTGGTTCGTGAGGTCCTCATGTGGTTCGTGAGGTCCTCAGATGGTTCGTGAGGTCCTCAGACGGTTCGTGAGGTTCTCAGGTGGTTCGTGAGGTCCTCATGTGGTTCGTGAGGTCCTCAGATGGTTCGTGAGGTCCTCAGACGGTTCGTGAGGTTCTCAGGTGGTTCGTGAGGTTCTCAGATGGTTCATGGGGTTCTCAGGTGGTTCGTGAGGTCCTCAGGTGGTTCGTGAGGTCCTCAGATGGTTCGTGAGGTCCTCAGGTGGTTCGTGAGGTTCTCAGATGGTTCGTGAGGTTCTCAGGTGGTTCGTGAGGTTCTCAGGTGGTTCGTGAGGTTCTCAGGTGGTTCGTGAGGTCCTCAGGTGGTTCGTGAGGTTCTCAGATGGTTCGTGAGGTCCTCAGGTGGTTCGTGAGGTTCTCAGGTGGTTCGTGAGGTTCTCAGGTGGTTCGTGAGGTTCTCAGGTGGTTCGTGAGGTTCTCAGATGGTTCGTGAGGTTCTCAGGTGGTTCGTGAGGTTCTCAGGTGGTTCGTGAGGTCCTCAGGTGGTTCGTGAGGTTCTCAGGTGGTTCGTGAGGTCCTCAGGTGGTTCGTGAGGTTCTCAGATGGTTCGTGAGGTTCTCAGGTGGTTCGTGAGGTTCTCAGGTGGTTCGTGAGGTTCTCAGGTGGTTCGTGAGGTTCTCAGGTGGTTCATGATATCTTCTGGAAGCTCCTACAATCATCTGGTTCACGAATCTTGTGAACCACTTTTGTTCATGAAGAACTTTTGTTCACCCCAGATGGTTCAGTATAATCTGTAGTGGTTCTATTGCTCTAGTGGTTCAAGTGGTTCTGAAAGCTGAATGGTTCAGAACTGTGAATAGGGCACCAGCGTATTTATTGCTTGATTAATTTTAATTTGTTTATAATCAGTTATATTTTTGTAATATTTAAACGTCATCTTTTATACATTTGTATCATATATATTTGTCAAAATTTGAATTTGAAAATCTTTGGAGATAAAAACAAACACAATAATTTTTTCTTTCGATTGAAATTGAAGTTGGGATAGTGTCTGTATTCCTCGAGAGGTCGTGTAACGATCGTTTGCTTGCAGACGATGAGTTACAGGAACGAGGCTTGAAACCTACGAGTAGTAACCCCCCTGCCCCAGCCCCCCCCCACACACACACCAGAAGAGGAGATGACGATGATGTTTCTGTCCGTTCTGGATCTCTATCAGAGTCGACAATCGACTTTGAAAAGGGTCCAGGATGGACCGAAACGTCGATGTCGTTACGTCATCTTCTGGTGTGTGTGTGTGAGGTGGTTAGGGGGGGGGGGGTAGTTTCCGGGTAGTTTGTTTGCTGAACAAGTGTGTACACCTGCTGCCCCTTCCCGCCCTCAGCCGTGTCCGAGGAGAGGCTGCTGAGGAAGGCCGTCAAGTGGAAGTTCAGCGGCCTGGACACCAACGGCGACAAGCAACTCAAGCGGCGGGAATATCGAAACATCAAGAAGACTGTGAAGAAGTTCATCAAACCCAAGAAGTGCGCCGGCAAGTTCCCTCGTCTGTGTGACTCTGACGACGACAACGCCATCTCCCTCAATGAGTGGATCGCCTGTTTCTGTAAGTATCCACGCCTCTTCCCTGTGTTCCTACCACGTGTGTACAATGTTACGCTCGAGGGCTGTACTCTGGTCCGGTCCGGTCTGGTCGAGGGGGGAGTCTATGGGTGTTGACTGTGGCCGCGGGAGAGGACCGGACTGTCCAACAACTCTTGATATCACGGGAGATGTTGGTCGAAGGTGTTGGCTTACCTTGTTAAGGGTGTGAAGTCTACCAGATGCTGTGAGGCTTCTTTTTTTGGTGTGTGTGTGTAACGCCATCTTGTGAGTCAAGGTAGAGTTATGTGTGGCTGCCAGCGTCTCTTTCAGCATACTGGTATTGGTCTACACACACACACACATAACACACACACACACACTCAAGCTTAGACAATTAAGCTGGTGTATCTGGAGGAGTCCTAAGGTGGGTCAGAGAGTACCTCTCGGGAAGGAAGCAGAGAGTCACAGGGAGAGCAGAGACAGAGTGGAGAGCGGTTACGAGAGAAGTACCACAAGGGTCGCTTCTGAGGCCCATCCTGTCTTTACAATGTTTGCAAATGATGCCAAAGTGACAAGTCAGGATAAATAGATTATGAAGCAATGCAAACAGATTTGGACACACTCCAGAAGTGGTCTGAAACATGGCTGCACGAGTTTAACCTAGCCACGTGCAGAGTTCTCATGATCTACATCACAGCCAGAGCTGCATGCGTGGTACACGGGCTTGGTGTCAGGGGGGGAGCCTGGGGGGTCCCTAGGGGGGCCCCTAGAGGATTAAGGCGAATTGCAGGTTGCAGTACTTTTGCATGTCATGCCCTAGTGGTTTCTTGCGTGTGCTTGGGGGGGACCCCAGTGTGCAGGTTCGAATCCTCTTCACGGCTCCTACTGATGTTCTTATTGATACATCACGTCAATGTGATTTATTTGTGCAATAATAATAATAATAAAAATAATAATAATAATAATAATAATGAGAAAATCCACTAAGGGTGTGAGGTGGGCGCGAACCTGCGCCCTCAGCAGTCAGTCGCGTACCCTACCACTAGACAGCTAGTAATAATAATAAAAGTAATTAATAATAAAAATAAAAATAATTAATAATAATACAAATTAATCATGAAGTGCAAGCGTGCTTCTTCCAATGATTAGTGGCATCATTGTTGTACTGGCGGAGTGCGCAGTGAGACGAGGAGGGTCGTGGTGTCCACGGAGCCTTCAATTGCCAGGTTGTTGGTGGTGGGTATAGCAGTGGTGGGGCGCTTGTCAACGCCGAGGACCCGTCACAACACGCCCGGCTCCCTTACACTCTACACGCGGGGCTCCGGGTCCTCACTCTCACTCTTTGAACACTTATCAATGGATATATTGTTTTGACAGCGAGGGTGAGTGTGGCGTCAGCTGGTGTCACTCACAGCTGCGTAATCGGTGTGCGTATATTCCCCCCCCCCCCCCCCTCCAAGGTACGACGACAGACACGCGGTGTCACTACGTTGTAAACAAATACATCGCTGCCAAACGTACGAGGATTTTTGGGCTGATAGATCAGGGCGTAAATGTTGTGTGGGTGGGTGGGGGGGGGAGGGAAGTATGGGGTTTAAAGCACGTGTGTGTGACAAATTCCATATGTCTCCATGTGTGACTGGTTTAAGATCCAGTCACATCCTCGCGTGTCTGGTTTAAGATCCAGTCATATCCTAGCGTGACTGGTTTAAGATCCAGTCATATCCTAGCGTGACTGGTTTAAGATCCAGTCATATCCTCGCGTGACTGGTTTAAGATCCAGTCATATCCTCGCGTGACTGGTTTAAGATCCAGTCATATCCTCGCGTGACTGGTTTAAGATCCAGTCACACCCTCGCGTGACTGGTTTACGACAGTCACACCCTCCCATGACTGGTTTACGACAGTCACACCCTCCCATGACTGGTTTACGACAGTCACACCCTCGCGTGACTGGTTTAAGACTGTCACACCCTCCCATGACTGGTTTACGACAGTCACACCCTCCCATGACTGGTTTACGACAGTCACACCCTCCCATGACTGGTTTACGACAGTCACACCCTCCCATGACTGGTTTAAGACTGTCACACCCTCCCATGACTGGTTTAAGACAGTCACACCCTCGCGTGACTGGTTTACGACAGTCACACCCTCCCATGACTGGTTTACGACAGTCACACCCTCCCATGACTGGTTTAAGACAGTCACACCCTCCCATGACTGGTTTACGACAGTCACACCCTCCCATGACTGGTTTACGACAGTCACACCCTCCCATGACTGGTTTACGACAGTCACACCCTCCCATGACTGGTTTACGACAGTCACACCCTCGCGTGACTGGTTTAAGACTGTCACACCCTCGCGTGACTGGTTTACGACAGTCACACCCTCCCATGACTGGTTTAAGACTGTCACACCCTCCCATGACTGGTTTAAGACAGTCACACCCTCACGTGACTGGTTTAAGACAGTCACACCCTCACGTGACTGGTTTAAGACAGTCACACCCTCCCATGACTGGTTTAAGACTGTCACACCCTCCCATGACTGGTTTAAGACTGTCACACCCTCCCATGACTGGTTTAAGACTGTCACACCCTCGCGTGACTGGTTTACGACAGTCACACCCTCCCATGACTGGTTTAAGACTGTCACACCCTCGCGTGACTGGTTTAAGACTGTCACACCCTCGCGTGACTGGTTTACGACAGTCACACCCTCCCATGACTGGTTTAAGACTGTCACACCCTCGCGTGACTGGTTTAAGACTGTCACACCCTCACGTGACTGGTTTAAGACAGTCACACCCTCACGTGACTGGTTTAAGACAGTCACACCCTCACGTGACTGGTTTAAGACAGTCACACCCTCCCATGACTGGTTTAAGACAGTCACACCCTCACGTGACTGGTTTAAGACTGTCACACCCTCACGTGACTGGTTTAAGACTGTCACACCCTCACGTGACTGGTTTAAGACTGTCACACCCTCACGTGACTGGTTTAAGACTGTCACACCCTCACGTGACTGGTTTAAGACTGTCACACCCTCACGTGACTGGTTTAAGACAATCACACCGTGTTGACACACCGTATGATTGCCCGAGACACAGTCATATAATTTCAAGCCTTGCAAATATTGTATTGGTGTATAATCTGATTGGTATTCAATTGTATTGAGTGAATCTATACAGTTATTGTTGATACTTATTTGTGCTACTTGTACTACCGTCACTTTTACGACTGTTAATGTTGCGCATGTTAACCCCCGCTGAACCATGACGTGGTGTTTGGTGCTCAACTTTGGGATTCAATTCCCTTGAGGGGAGGTGTGGAGGCTCCTAGCTAGTGGCAGCCAGTCCGGGTTTACCTCAGTGGCCGTCGGGGCGGACCCCCCCCCCCCCCCTAGGCCGGTGGCTCCAGTCGCCTCCTTGCTCAAATATATTCTGATTTACAACCTCATTACAAGCTGCTACCACAACCTTGGCTAGTTTTATTATTACTACAACCACAACCACTATTACGACAACCACTACCACTATTACCACAACCACTACTTACAAACGAATACATTAAATGTCTCGGTTTCAGCAGCCAAATATTCCCATTGCAACATTCATATTCAACCTTAGTGCAGAGATAAGTATATCCAGTATTAATGATCTTTAATGTTTAATTGGCATATTAAATGGCTTAAAGTAACGTCTGTTAGGATTATTTAGGCTTCGAAACGCCTGAATGTTTTAAGAATGTAATTTATTTGGTTGAAAATATTTTGTGAGAGTAATGTTTTTGTCTTGAAAAGAAAATTTTTGTATTTTCAACAGCCCCGGAGACGAGAACCAGGCCCAGCGGTGGTGGTAAGTGTTCCTTTAAATGTTTCTTACTTGTTTTGCGTCGGTCGTAAGTGTTTCCTGTTCCCTGGGGTGGGGGGGGGGGGAGGAGATTTGTGAGACAGGTGTTGTGGGTGTGTGAGACAGGTGTTGTGGGTGTGTGAGACGGGTGTTGTGGGTGTGTGAGACGGGTGTTGTGGGAGTGTGAGACGGGTGTTGTCAGATAACATCTGACGAGCGCTCCCCGCCTCTTTCAACAACCGTCACCTGGATGCAACTTATTCCGGGTGTTGCTTGCGTTTGTTTTGCGTCGTGTTGTGTCCTTGTTCTTACTTGTATTAAGGTGTGTGTGTGTGTGTGTGTGTGTGTGTGTGTGTGTGTGTGTGTGTGTGTGTGTGTGTGTGTGTGTTTGTGTGTGTGTGTGTTCTCCGTGTGCCCCAAGATGGCTTACACACTTCTCAGCGATGTGTTTGTGTTGGTTTAAACCATCTGTTCACTGTCTCACAATCACATGTGTAGGTCTCACAATCACACGGTGTAGGCCCTCACAATCACACGGTGTAGGCCCTCACAATCACACGGTGTAGGCCCTCACAATCACACGGTGTAGGCCCTCACAATCACACGGTGTAGGCCCTCGCAATCACACGGTGTAGGCCCTCGCAATCACACGGTGTAGGCCCTCGCAATCACACGGTGTAGGCCTATGACAACTGTGCAGGTAAGTAGTGCGTTGTTAAGTGCTGCGATTTTCTCCTGTGATTTTGGTGAAGTGTTAAGTGTATTAAGTTATTATTATTATTAACATCTTTATTGACACAATTACAATTTTGCCTAATCTGAGGATTTCAATTAAGTCTTATTAAAGTGAGGATAATGCTGGTATTCACTGTCACGCAGGACAGAGGGTCATACACAAGACAATAGGTCTAAACTGTAGGCTGAAGCACATATATATCATGGTTACAATCAATGTTTTAATGTGTGGATATGTGAAAACAACTTTCTATTGTGCACTGCCACACAAGGGCAGGGATGGGTTCATAAGTGATGCAGCTTAGAAGGAATATAAATCAAATTGTTCTTCATTCTTTAAAATGGACAAACAAATTTTGGGTAAATTGTTAGGATGTCGTCCAGAACACCTGAGTCAATAAAATAGTTACACAGTTGGTGGTACAAGAGGCCAGGAGGTCTAAAATCTTTTACGGTTTCACATTCAACAATATAGTGTTCTAGTGAATGAATTAAAGGTTTATCACAGAGTTTACAATCTGAGTATTCTGGTAGTGGCTCAGCTTCACTAACCTGCCAGATGTGCCTGTAGCCAAGGCGAATTACCACAATGACATCACATTGCCTGGTCCGGTTACTGTGCTGACCATACAAATACCTATTATTACAGAACTTGTCATAACTTTTAATACTGCAGCTTTCAGGTCTCTGGGCATTTCTTAGTTCTTCTAAATCTGAATTAATTTATTTAATTTGTATGTTTCTAATAACTGCATTAGATAGTCCAAAGTCATAATCAGTGTTTTCTTTCCTGCAAGCCTCATTGGCCAATCGATCTATAAAGTCATGTTTTCCAACTCCAACATGGGATGGGATCCACACAAATTTTATACAATAGTTATTATCATTGGCAAAAATTACATTCCATTTAATATTACAAGCTACTTCAGACGTACATTGTGATGGGTTATTTAAGGACTGTAGAGCTCTTGTAGAGTCGCAGAATATCACTCCACCACCATTGAGCTTAAGGTATTCAGTGGCTAGATAAATACCCAATAGTTCGGTCTGTGTCGTGCTTGCCCAGTTGTTCACTCTCTGTGTACTAGACATGATCATTTCATTCCCGTGTACACTGCACAACCTGTTCTACCAGTGCCTAACTGCACAGAGCTATCAGTAAAGGCGTAAGATTCAGTTGGTTTGATATTTTGAAGATGATTGTCAATAGTTCAAATGTTATACATCTCATAGTTTCAGTGTTATACATTTGTTTTACACTGATGGGGGTATAATGCAAAGAGACCTCCACATCTTTCCAAGGGGGAATATAGTGAAGTTGACTGTATTAAGTAATTCTGAGACGGCGCTGGGCGGCTTCCTCGGCTAACTCGGCACCCCCTCTACGGTGTCCCAGGTTCGATTCCTGGGCGGGACAGAAATCTTTGGACACGGTTACCCTTCACCCTGATGCCGCTGTTCACCTAGCAGTAAATAGGTACCCAGGAGTTGAACAACTCTTGTGGCGTTACTTCCAAAGGGGGGGAGGGGGGGGGATCCTGGGAACTTACCTTTGATGAGAGCATATAAGACATATATATATATATATATATATATAATATATATATATATATATATATATATATATATATATATATATATATATATATATATATATATATATATATATAATATAATATATATATATATATATATATATATATATATATATATATATATATATATATATATATAATATATATATATATATATATATATATATATATATATATATATATATATATATATATATATATATATATATATATATATATATGTCGTACCTAGTAGCCAGAACGCACTTCTCAGCCTACTATGCAAGGCCCAATTTGCCTAATAAGCCAAGTTTTCATGAATTAATTGGTTATCGACTACCTAACCTACCTAACCTAACCTAACCTAACTTTTTCGGCTACCTAACCTAACCTAACCTATAGAGATACGCTAGGTTAGGTTAGGTAGGGTTGGTTAGGTTCGGTCATATATCTACGTTAATTTTAACTCTAATAAAAAAAAATTGATCTCATACATAATGAAATGGGTAGCTTTATCATTTCATAAGAAAAAAATTAGAGAAAATATATTAATTCAGGAAAACTTGGCTTATTAGGCAAATCGGGCCTTGCATAGTAGGCTGAGAAGTGCGTTCTGGCTACTAGGTACGACATTATATATATATATATATATATATATATATATATATATATATTTATATATATAATGTGTAATTTTATGGGAAAATATATTTGTCACAATTTACTTGAAATTGTAGTCTGTATAAAATTCTTGAATTCTCTAACCTAATTTCAAATGTTGCTCAAATATCAGAGAATTGCTCATCTATAACAATGACAGACATTCCTGTCACGTCGGCATTCCATCCCTGACCGTCTCGAAGTGGTTGGGTACCATTCCTTTCCCCCCGCCGTCCTATCCCAAATCCTTATCCTAATCGGCTGGTCGCTGACTTCTGATCGCCTCCCTTCCCTAACACACGCCACCCCTGTCACAACTTTGCAAGATGGCTGACAGTAGAGCAATTGTTGACAAGAAAGACCAACATTATCGGGCGCTCCCGTGTGGCATTCTCGCCCTTCCGTACTGGGTGAGTAGGTCGTTGATGGAGTCCCTTGTTGTACCCAGAGTCCATCTGGATCACAGCGGCATATTTCATTACGTGTAACAGTTATAATGATTAATACTTTGTGTTTGGCCCAAATTTATTTGACTCGATTTTCTGGCAATATTCCTCGTCTGTGAGGGCATCCTCGTTGGTATCTTGTCGTTATATCCCAACTGTTAATGTCGTTATATCCCAACTGTTAATGTCGTTATATCCCAACTGTTAATCTGTCGTTATATCCCAACTGTTAATCTGTCGTTATATTCCAACTGCTATCTTGTCGTTATATCCCAACTGTTAATCTGTCGTTATATCCCAACTGTTAATCTATCGTTATATCCCAACTGTTAATCTGTCGTTATATCCCAACTGTTAATCTGTCGTTATATCCCAACTGTTAATCTGTCGTTATATCCCAACTGTTAATCTGTCGTTATATTCCAACTGCTATCTTGTCGTTATATCCCAACTGTTAATGTCGTTATATCCCAACTGTTAATATGTCGTTATATTCGAGCTGCTGTCCTGTCCTCGTATCCCTTCCAAGTGCTGCATAGTTGTACTTGCTGTGTGCTTTATGACTATAATTTACCGAATCTTACTTTCCTGTGGGACTAATATTCTTTGAGCATAATCAGTCTTGGTCTCTTAATATATCGTAAGGCAAGTGCCTAATAAATGTATTCAAGGAAATTAATTTATTAACGGTTAATAAATTTATTGAAGAAAAGTCTAGCATTAATTATTTATCAAAGTATTTCAGTAGGCAAGCTGTCATCTTATGAAATTAAATACTTTACTACGATTGGTCTAAACAAATTATCGGCATGGACTTTTTGGGGAGACAGTTGATGGGCACCAGTTTTTTTTTTTTTTTATCTGAAATCATTGTTTGCGATCTTCATATGAACACTCGTGACTTGGTACCAAGGCAGTATAAAATAAATTTGAGCAAACTTTACAAGACCTTGATGAATCCCACCGCTGCCACCATTGTCGCACACACATTCATGTAGACAAAATCTACACTATTCTGTTTACTCCAGGGTTCTTCGTTCAAGGTAAACCTACCATGCTCTGTCTAAGGGTTCTTCATTTAGTGTGAATCTGGCATAATATATATTAAACGGTATTCCATTAGTAGTTAATTTATTATAAATATGACTGAATACTTAAAACCAATGCAATGGGTTTTGATTATATTAGCTACTAAACAACTTGTGTTTCTCACATCTAGACACTCGTTTGGTAATATCAGTTCTCGGTACACCATTATATTCAATATCTCTGACAGAATCATATCGTAAATATACCATACATTATTTCTACCTAAGCTGGCAAGTTGGCAAAGTGGCGTAAAGTCAAATTAGTCATGGAGTCACCAACCTTACTAATCACTAAGGCACTGTGCATGAGTGGGCTCGACCCCCTCCCCCTCCCTCCCCATTACAGGACTATTTCTCGACATTCTTACACTGACCACACACCCATCTTGTGCTAACCCATCCCAGGCCAGGAGCGCCCAAAGGCATCCCTGGAGATACAAGAATACACCAGTGCGGCGTCACACGTCCTCCCAATGAGTATATATAGAAAACACAAATGTTTC